TCTTTGATTACGGCTCTATCAGGCATGGGTAAACACACTCACCACTCACGCCTCTCCACTCTGCCTCAGCCTCTTTAAACCCTCTCTCATTGGCATGGTTTCTTGCAACCTCACCAAATTGCACAAAGTAATTCTCAAGGAATCTGGGACCCGCCTATCAAAGTTGTCCTTTTCATGATACTGGCACAAAACCTTCACTTGTTCCACCTCTTGGGATAAGAATCCAACAATTCATTTCTGCTGCTGGCATTGAGTTGGAGAATATATCTCCTTTTCCCGTCTTTCTTCTTCTCTCCTCCTTGGCAATTGGTGAGGCCACAAGTTGACCTTAACGCTGACAAAGTTTAAGAAATCAGAAACTAACGAATTACAATATAAACAAGAATTTAATCAATTAAAAAGTAAATATAATACATATAAATCCTTATTTACAGATGGGTCCAAGGGATGGTGGCGCGGTTGCTTTGTGCCACTGTCATTGATCCAGAACAATCTCTTCTCGACTACCAGATAACAGCGCCTCTATTTTCACAGCAGAAGCTAACGCCATATTAACAGCTCTTAAATATATTAATAAACACCGTAAATATAAACAATATATCATATTTTCCGATTCTCTTCGTGTCTTCAGGCTATTAAAAATGTCTCTTTGTAAACATCCGCTTTATTAGAAATTATTGAATTGCATAAATGAGCTTGCTACTGGCCAATGCGACATCGTCTTTTGTTGGTTACCCAGCCACGTTGGCATTTCTGGGAACACAATGGTTGATCTTGCTGCTAAGGCAGCACTCAACAAATCTGTGACGCCACTTCTGATCCCATACTCTGATTACAAAGTTGCTATTGGAACTTACATCCGTGATCTGATGCAAAAGAAGTGGGACACCCAAGTAGGTATCAATAAATTACATGAAATAAAACCCTACATTGGTTATACCTACTTGGGTTGTCAGTCCAGATTTGAAGAGGTCATCATGCGACGATGTCGTATTGGCCACACTAGATACAACACGCATGCAGTACCCTATTGAAAGGTGAGGATCCTCCGTTTTGCATCCCATGTGATGAGAACTACTCTTTGCCATCAAGCATGTCCTGCTTCTTGACTGTGTTGAATTCTCCTCTCATAAGGGATAAATACTTCAATGTGAAAACAATTAAGGATCATTTTTACTACTGTTAATTCTCATTTAATTCTTGTTTTTTTTAAAGAAATTGACTTAATGAATGAATTTTGAATAATATGCTGTGTACATATTTGTATTTTAATTATTGGTAGACTTGATTAATAACTTAGATTGTTAGTGGCTGTACCCTCAAAGGGGGTTGAAGTATTGTAAAATTATTGTCCTCCTTAGAGGGTATGTAAGTCCCAAAACATTTCAAGTAAATTTAAGTATACCAGGTATTTTAATCGTAGCATTTTTGTCATTTTAATGTATGGCTAATTCTCGGTATAAACGCCAACAGCTAAAGGGGTGGTGTAAATCCAGCTAGGGTCCATGCAGGTAGCAAAAGTAATGTAAGTCCCCATGGCCCCTAGTATGGTGATCTACCTTCAGTTGTTGGCGATCTATAGCCCATTTTTATATTGTGTTGTCCCTATAGTTAATATGTTTTAGATTCAATTACTAGTTTTACATATGTCTGTGATACTCTAGTTGCTTTACTGTCCTTTGGCGGCAGGTCTTTATAATATCTATATATATATATTCTTTTCAATATCAAATGTTCTCTCGTCACGATATGGCTGAAATATTGCCGATGTGACGTTAAATCTTAACTCACTCACTCACTCACTTACCATGAAAACCAACCAGAAAACCACCCACAGATTCTTCTCCAGAGATTTTTAAAGGTCACATGCAACCAAAAAAATCAAACATAATTAAAACACAATTATCACTTAGTCATGACATATAATATACATTGCTGGTTACGAAAAAATATATAAACAAAATTATAAGCGTACAATCGCAAATCGAAAGTGCAAAATTGTGTACTTTCCTTTAAACGAAGCAGCCGGATACCGAGCCCAGTCAGAGCGGGTGGGTGTGCACTCAAGCGTAACGGCTGGTTCATTTGCAGATGCCTTCACGGCTAATTGTGTGTGTGTGTATATAGAGATGTTGGGTTTTGTAAATACATGCTCATTTTTGTGTATAACATTTTGCAATCAACAGACATCATAACATGTCATGTGTTCAAGTATCACACCTGCCTGTCTGTGTAATTACATAATGTGACAGAGACCGAACTCGGGCCATAAATCAATGCATTTTGTTTATGGTGTATAGCCTGATTGGTGTTAAGTTCAAATTGCATGTGGTTAGTGATAGCAGCTGTGTATTGAATATTGTCATTAGCAGACAGGCAGGCAGACACACAGGTGTCAATAAAACAAGACATTGAGTTTTGTCTGTGACAACGACATATCTATATCACAGTTAGAAATTCTGTCAACGCTAAATAATGACATTGCTTTTAAGCATCGAACTGAGAAAGTGACTCGGTAAGAAGAACGTGGGTGAAATAGACAAATGAAATTATATAAACAGTTAATTTACTGTCATAACATATAAAAAGCTCGCGCCTGTGAGATATCAACAAAACATTAGAAAAATAGCTCACACCAAAGCCTTCACCGAGTATTCACCCGACAACCCGCTTCCAAGCTGCGCGAACCTATTTACTTGCGCATCGTGCTATGAGCGCAGCCCAGCTGTTGAAACCCGTTTTCCCCGAAAAGTCTGGGGAAAATTAGTGAAACGTTTGAACTCCGATTTCGCGCGTTTTTTCATCATCAAGTTATTTTTCAACTTTATAAGTTGAATTTGCATTTTTGACGATTTGTTTCTGGTATGTCCATACCGAAAGGTATCAGAATCTGCAAAGTTGTGTTTTACGTTGCATGTGACCTTTAAGTGATTGGCAAATTTCTCCCAGATTGATTTGGGCAGGTTTTTAATGTCCTCTCCTAGTTTCATGATAAATCTTTTCAGCATCTCTCGAAGTTGCGTGGCTGCTGTGTCGATAATCATCCATAACGGTACTTCAATATTTGTCCACTTTTGTGTCACACAACAGTGACACAGCGGTACTTGAATTTGAGATGGCACTGCAGACAATATCCACAAAGTCACAAAACCACCACAGGAATCGAGATCTGTGGTACATTCCCTTAACAGCCGTGTAGGCGCCGCAGCCAACTTCCTTAATAGCAGGTAAAGCAGCACGTGTCTGTCTGAGTGCTCTGCGTCTGAAAACACAAATATGATACATAATGCAAATGAATCTGAGATCGATTGCATGACGTTTTGATCTGGATATTTTGTTTGGTTTGCTGTTTAACGCCGAACTCAGCAATATTTCAGCTATGTGGCAGAGGTCTCTAAATAATCGAATCTGGACGAGACAATCCAGTGATCAACAGAATGAGCACCGATCAACGCAATGCAACATGATGACATGTGTCCACCAAGTCAGCGAACCTGACCCCCGACACCTCTTACGTCAAGCATGGGTTACAGAAAACTTATTCTCTTCATGGGTCCTTTCTTCCCTTTGTAACATGTACTAGTGAGGGAGTGAGTGGGAGGGTGGGTGGGTGAGTAAGGAGTGAGTTGGTGTGTGATTGTTTAGTGAGTGAGTGAGTGGGCTGGTGGGAGAGCTTGGAGGAGTTTTGAGTGGGTGAGGGAGGGAGAGAGGGAGGAGCGAGGAGTGAGTGAGTGAGTGAGCTGGGGAGGGAGGGAGGGAGAAAGCGGATGAGTAAGGAGTGGGGAGTGAGTTGTGAGTGAGTGCAATACGTGTATTGTGAAAAGGCGGCAGTACGTCCGTTCTGCCTCGTCGTCAACGTCATTGACGAGGGCACCCTGACTGAGACAGGTGTCAGCACGCCCACCAGCACCAGATAAAACAGCACAAGTCTCATGTTCTTTATCTGCTAAAACATTAAATATATTATCTTTAAATCGTAAATGATTTTGCATTGTTAATCCGTTTGTACGTTAAGTTTCATACTTAGAAGACAGCATCGATACTCACATGGTACTTTCCAGTACCAGAGAGACAAGCCTTGTGATAATGATAAAACCCCAATGCCTCCAACTACCACTACCAATGATAAAGATAACATTTCCATACCTCCAACTACCACTACCAATGATAATGATAACACTTCCATGCCCTAACTGCCACTAACAATAATAATATTATCACTGTCACAACTTCAACTACCACTACCAATGATAATGATAAACTCCCATACCTCCAATTACCACTACCAATGATAATAATAACACTTCCATACCTCCAACTACCACTACCAATGATAATGATAGCACTGTCATGCCTTCAATTGCAATTACCAATGATAATGATAACACTGTCATACCTCCACTACAACTACCTATGACAAATATAGCACTTTAATACCTCCAACTACCACTACAAATGATAATGATAGCACTGTCATACCTTCCAATTACCACTACCAATGATAATGATAACAATGTCATACCCCCAACTACCACTACCAATGATACTGATAACACTTCCATACCCCCAACTACCACTACCTATGATAATGATAACACATCAATATCTCCAACTGCCACTACCAATGATAATAAGAACACTTCCATACATCATGAAAATGATAGCACTGTCATGTTTCTAATTACCACTAACAGTGATAATGATAACACTGTCACACCTCCAATTACCACTTCTCATGATAATAATAGCACTGTCATACCTCCAATTACCCCCACCAATGATGATGATAGCACGGTCACACCACCAATTACCCCTGCCTATGACAATGATAGGACTTTCCCACCCCCAATTACCACTACCAATGATAATGATAACACTGTTACACCTCCAATTACCACTACCAATAATAGTGATAACACTGCCACACCTCCACCTACCACTACCTATGATAATGATAATATTACCATACCTCCAACTACCACTACCTATGATAATGATAGCACTATAATACATCCAACTACCACTTCATATGATAATGATAACACTACCGCACATCCAAATACCACTGTCTATGATCATGCTAACACTGCCGTACCTCCAGCTACCACTACCTATGATAAAGATAAAACTACCATACATTCAACTACCACTACCTAGGATAATGATAACACTATAAAACCTCCAACTGCCACTTCATATGATAATGATAACACTACCATACCTCTAAATACCACTACCTATGATCATGATAGCACTACCTATGATCATGAAAACACTACCATACCTCCAGCTACCACTACCTATGATAAAGATAAGACTACCGTACATTCAACTACCACTACCTATGATAATGATAACACTATAATACCTCCAACTACCACTACCTTTTGATAATGATAACACTATAATACATCCAACTACCACTTTCTATGATAGTGATAACCCTTCCATACCTACAAATACCACTACCAATGATAAGGATAACAATGCCATACCTACAAGTACCACTACCTGTGATAACGATAACACTTCAATACCTGCACTACAACTACCTATGACAATAATAGCACTCTTATACCTCCAATTACCACTACCTATGATAATGATAACACTTCAATACATCCAATTACCACTGCCAATGATAACGATAACATTTCCATACCTGCAATTACCACTTCCAATGCTAATGATAACACTTCCATACCTCCAATTAAAACTACCAATGATAATGAAAACACTCCCATACCTGCACTACAACTACCTATGACAATAATATCACTGTCATACCTCCAATTACCACTACCAATGATAATGATAGCACTGTCACACCTCCCATTACCACTGCCTATGACAATGATAGGACTGTCACACCTCCAATTACCACTGCCTATGAGAATGATAGGACTCTCACACCTCCACGTACCACTACGTATGATAATGATAACACTACCATACCTCCAACTACCACTACCTATCATAATGATAACACTACCATACCTCCAGTTACCACTACCTATGATAAAGATAAAACTACCATACATTCAACTACCACTACCTATGATAAGAATAACAGTATAATACCTCCAACTTCCACTACCAATGATAATGATATCACGCCCATACCTCCAAGTACCACTTCTAATGATAATAATAGCACTATCAAACCTCCACCTACCGCTACCTATGATAATGTTAACACTCCCATACCTCCAACCAACACCACCTATTATAATGATACCACTACCATACTTCCAGCCACGACTACCTGTGATGATGATAACACTACCATACCCCCAACCACCACTACCTATGATAAAGAAAACACTATAATACCTCCAACCAACACTACCTATGATAATGATAACACTACCATATCCCAAACCACCACTACTTATGATAATGATCACACTGTCATTTCTCCATCTACCACTACCTATGATAATGATAACACTCACATATCCCCACTCCTCCAGCTCTGATAGTGATAACACTCCCATACCTCCACTACAACTACCTATGATAAAGATAACACTCCCATATCTCCACTACCACTAGCTCTTGATAGTGATAACACTTCCATACCTCCATTACCACTACCTATGACAATGATATCACTAAAATACGCCCAATTACCACTACCTGTGATAATGATAATACTTTCATACCTACAAGTACAACTACCACTGATAATGATAACACTTCCATACCTCAATTACCACTAAATATCATAATAATAACACTTCCACACCTCCAACTACCACTACCGATGAACATGATAACTTCTATGGCTGCACAACAACTACCTATGACAATATTAGCACTGCCATACCTCCAATTACCACTACCTATATGATAATGATAACACTGTCATATCTCCAGATGATACAACTACAACTACCAATGATAATGATGAAACTGTCATACCTCCAACTACCACTACCAATGATAATGATAACATTCCATGCCTGCACTGCAACTTCCCATGACATTACTAGCCCTTTCTATACCTCCAATTACCACTGTCTATGATAATGATAGCACTGTCATACCTCAAATTACCACTACCAATGATAAAAATACCACTGTCACACCTCCACCTACCACTACCAATGATAATGATATCACTATAATACTTTCTCAACTACCACTTCATATGATAATGATAACACTACCATACTCCAACTACCACTTCCTATAATAATGATAACACTGTCATACCTCCAACTACCACTACCTATGATGATGATACCACTGTCATGCTGGCACTACAACTTCCTATGACAATAATAGCACTGTCAAGCCTCCAATTACCACTACCTATGATGATGATACCACTGTCAAACCTCCACCTACCACTACCTATGACCATGATAACACTACCATACCTCCAACTACAACTACCTATGATAATGATAACAATAAATACCTCCATCTACCACTTCCTATGATAACGATAACACTTCAATACCTTTCACTACAACTACATATGACAATAATAGCACTGTTATACCTCCAACTACCACTAACTATGATAATGATAACACTGTCATATCTCCAACTACCACTACAAATGATAATGATAACACTCCCATACCTCCACTACAACTACCTACGATAATGATAACACTCCCATATCTGTACTACCACTAGCTCTTGATAGTTATAACACTCCTATACCTTCACTACCACTACCTATGATAATGATACCAGTTCCATACCTACAAGTACCACTACCAATGATAATGATAACTCTTCCATACCTCCACTACCACTACCAATCATAATAATAGCACTGTCATACCTCCAATTACCACTACCAATGATAATGATAACACTGTCACACCTCCAATTACCACAGCCTATGACAATGATAGGACTTTCACACCTCCACTACCAACAAACACCAATGATAATAATAGTACTGTCAAACCTCCACTACCACTACCTAGGATAATGATAACACTACCGTACCTCCAACTACCACTACCTATGATAATGATAACACTCTAATTCCTGCAACTACCACTTCCTATGATAATGATAACACTACTATATCTCCTACTACCACCACCTATGATCATGAAAACACTACCATACCTCCAGCTACCACTACCTATGATAAAGATAAAACAACCATACATTCAACTACTACTACCTATGATAATGATAACACTACCATACCTTCAGCTACCACTTCCTATGCTAATGATAACACTATCATACCTTCAACTACCACTACCTATGATAATGATAACACTATAA